GGAGCAGACTCCGGCTTCTCGCATGAACGAGCTGCTTCGATGCAACTACTTTCCGCTGAGATCTGATGATCGCACGTCTGTTCCTCCAAGGTCCAAGCTTCTTCAATTTCAGCCTTGAGCCTCTTAGACTCCTGCGCGAACGAGGTCCCGGGATGCGTCGTCTCCAAGTCCAAGGCAACCACTGGGCCGGGTGCAGAAGCCCAGACCTTCGCAGCCACTGGGATGGACAAGAGTCACATGACCGGGAGTCCTGAACCGCCTCCATTCCCTGTTGTGGGTCCAGCCAGGCTAGGAAGTGCGAAGCCATTCCATGCCTCACGGATTGGATGAGCCGAGGATTCGCCAGGAATGGAGGACCTTGTTTGCCTAAGCGAGGAACCGGATAAGCACAAGACCGCAGAAGCCCGGCCCAGCTACTTGTCACAATGCATTCGATCATAGAATATAACTCATGCTTCGCTGCTTCCCAGACCGTGCTGCGATGCAGGACAGAAATCTATTGTCCTGGGTTTCCTGTCATGACCGTGGAGGACTTTGACGGGTTTGCATGGTCAGACAAAGTCAGACAATCCTTTCGACCTTTTTGCATTCATACATAGCAGGGGCAGGCTTGCGTGTACGTGTTTCATACTAAGCAGGCATCTGCCTGCATTCGCATGTTTGCGCCCGGTTTACGCCTCACTCTTTCGGGGTTTTTGTATGTGCTGTGCCGCCGATAAGATGCAGAGTGAGTGACGACGTGGTCGGGCAGCAACCTCTCGTGAACCTTGGATACCGCATCGGCTGCCCTCTGCACCATTCCCGAATCGTAGTGACTCGAGAAAAGTCTTTTTGTCAAAAATAAAAAGAGCCTGCAGCAGCAACGCTCCCCTTCATTGCAGCGCAGCACTCGGACTGGCAGGAGCCCACAGCTGGACTTGATGGCACAAGGCAGCTTCGTAAGCACTGCTTCTGATGCAGTTAGTGCTGTTGCTCCTGTCCAGGCGCTCGGCAATGCTTGGGCCTTAGGACTCCCAGCGGTGGCGCTTGTGGTTGCGAAAGAGCCAAGGAATGGAGCACGGTCGAAAGATGTCCATGCATCGGAGGCCAACGGGCACCACGACTGCCTCGTAGCGTTATGGAGTCATGATTCTTGGTCGTCTTCCGCGCAACTTTTCGCCTTGTCGAGCCGGCGAGGGCAAGGGCTCTTGCAAGAAAGGCATAATCTTCATTGTTTGCCAGTCCGAAGAGACGCCTTGCGGACCAGCGGACTTGGGAGGGACGCCGTCCGACACTCCGCTGCAGGCCGGGAATTGAAGGCACTCCGCCACGGCGATGTAGCTTCGGATACTGGGAGGCACTGTGGCAGCGCCCGGCTCCAGAGCGGACATTGCCAGCGAAGGACATGGTGCCGCTGGCCCGGACCCAAGGTTTTCGTGTCGGAAGCGACGTTGCGAAGCCTTTTACGTTCTTGGATGGGCATACGACGGAGGCCAGCATCGATCTGGGAGCCAAGGCTCATCCTGTGGTCTGAGTTCCTCGCAAGAAGCAAACTCTGTTCAACAGCAGCGTGTACTTGCTCCGTAAGATCGTAATACGTTTGTGAGCTTCACATGTGCCCTGAGCGGCGACTTGTTCTCTGTATGGCAACGTGTGCTATGTAGTCACAACAGAATTGCGTATCGTTCCTACTTCAAGGGGGGACGATTGCAGGCCTCTGCCGTCAACGTGTCCGGTGACCTTGTAGAGGCCAGGAAACTTTCTCATTCCTGAACTAGATGGCCGTTTCGAGGCTCGCAGCTAGTAGCCAGAATTTTTCGAATGTCAGGGAGATGCGCCGCGATGCCCCGCACTCAGAGGTGCCGAGCCAGGAGTGCTGGAGTCGAGCGATCGAATGTGCTACAACACAGCAAGAAGTCCGGACCTTCGTCTTTGTGATTATAGTACAGTTGTGGTCCCCATCGCCTTGAGCCGAACGGGTACGAAGCCCCGGGGGGCCAAAAGAGAGGCTGCGGAGCTTTACCTGTGAACCCATGCTTCAGGTCCTTCGCCCAAGACTTGCGAGGCTCTGCAGTTTGACACCTTGTTCACGCTGCTGTGATTCGGAGATCTATGGGTTGAAGACGGATCGGCTGCGTTCATGATACTTGCAGCGGGGTTTCCTCCTCCTTCTTCGTGCTTGAAAGGTGCTTCCCAAAGGCGACGAGTCGCAAGGAGCTCCCTGGAGTCTGTGTGTTTCCAGGTTTTCGGCCGAGTCGCTGAGCCGCTGAGCTCCCTGGAGGCCTTCGAAAGTGCACCTTGGACGACTCGAAGAAGAGCGTCAGCCCGGGCCCCTAATAAGACAGGGCTACTCGTATGCACGAGGGCCTTATCGCTTCACTGCCAACAGGCATTGGCGACAGGATTGAGGGTATCCGCGCATGCTTGGAGGCCGGGTCATTGTCCGTCCATGTTGCCCCATGTTGCCACTAGCTCTTCTCGTGAAAGCGTCTATGTCACGACGAATCCTGAGATCTGCTCTTCTGTGCTTCAAGTACTAGCGGCTAGCGTGAACAGAACAGCTTCTTGCCCATTGGCCTGAAGATCACGATCTCGCTCAAAACTCATCGCCACAGGCAAGGATGGGAACCCAGCGCTTCCAGGACCGCCTCCAAGGGGTGCCGGAGTTCGCTCGTCTGTGAAGTCAAATTTGAGACTTGTTCAAGAGCAGCCCGTGCGTCTTAAGAGCTGACGGGGAGACATGACTATGGTGCATGTCTCTATGCTTGTGGAATTTCTGATCCCACTCTGCAGAAGCTGTACAAGAGTCTGACCAAAGATGATGCTACTGCAGGGGTCCCAGTTAGTTGGCTTCCCCCTCCGCCGCCTTTGGCATCGCAGCACGATTGTGTCGATTAAGTCCATAACATGATCCGGACATGACTTGCTGACGGCTCAATGGGACGTGCAAGTCCACGATCCAAGCGGATTCCCTCCCGGACGCTTCCCACCAGCCTAGATTTCTTTGCAGGTCAACAGCCTCTCTGGCGCCACAGTTCCTTGGCCAGGGCCTTGAGCCTTCACCGGGCGTCAAAAACATATGAGACAGCTGGGCAAGGCATCAAGGCGTCACTCACTCGAGTTTTCTTGATCTAAATGAACATGTTGTATGTACATGCATATGAGGCAGTATACAGCTCCGGAGAGGAAGACTAACATGCCTCACGCTAGCTTCTTCAGCGTCTATGTAGACAACCGTATCTTGTCATTTGAATAGTGCCTGCAGGCCTCGAGATTCGTCGATGTTCCTTCCTGAAGACATTGACGAGGTCACCGTTCCTTGCAAACGTGTCCGCGAAGATGGTGTCTGTGTGTGTGTGTGTGTGTGTTTATATTTGTACAGCGCTTTGTGTGACAAGCAGGCTTTCAGTGAGGCGACGACAGCGTTGGACCGGCGTGTTTGGCACGACAATGCAAGTGAAGAGAAGGAGGTTTCGTCCAAGTGTTGCCTCTGGAGTCCGAGAACAGGCACGCCAATTGCCCTTTGTCTTCGATCGGCTCACTCAACAGCTCAACCCTTGCATGGCAGGTCTGATGACCTCAACTCCTTAGTTCCTTTGGTGGCGAAGCTCGTAGCATGTGAGCAAAGCTACTTCAGCTGAGCATTGATGAGTCTAGGGTTTGCCAGTCAGAATTGCCCCGTGAGCTCTGCCAAAAGCCCAGCATACATCGCAGCGCTTTGGTTTCTTTTGCTTTCTTTCCCTATTGGTCATCCCGTGGGCAGAGAGCCATCATCGACATTTGTGCACTGGTGGGGGGGGGGGTTCGGTTGCTGCACTGCTTTGTGCTGCATAAGAGATTATGTTTTGTGTCCTCGCATTTAGGAACAAACACAACCTGGGCAGGGCTCCAGGCTCGGAATTCTGTGTGGCAGCAGAAATCAATGTAGCTCGTTCTTGTTTGCATGGCCTTGGCCAAAAGGGTGAGGCAATTTACGTTTTGCTTTAGAGGTAGCCACTGATGTTGCCCTGCAAAGCTAAATTCCAAAGGCTTTCGGATAAAACAGAGGCTTGCTGTTCCTCAGCCGTACTTCTGGCGTGAAGGTGGCAATGTTAGGGAACGTGAGATTCGGGGGGTTGCTTTCTGCAACCCTCAATCCAATTCGATGGAGATTGCATCTTGACGAATTTGATGCACGCCCGGAATTTTATCGTGTCTGGTTCCGCGCTCTTCCAGAAATGTCAGTGTTGAAGGTGCAGGGTCGGCCACATGTTCTTACGCGCGCCAGGACTCGAATTGGTTGCCGCAGGCAAACTGTACAAATGGCCCAGCGAGCTACAGAAGGTCGTAACACGACCTTCGAGAGCTGGACGTCCCGTAGGAGGACACGACTGTGCCCCTAATGCACCTGGCCATGTTTGCAACAGGCCGAGCTGTAATGTTCCCCAGATTTCAAAGCTCCAACACCATGTTTCATGACGCTTTTGCAAACATGTGCTCCAGTTTGGGGAGCACAAATACGTGTCAGTTCAACACACGCTTCCAGAGCTGCACTCAGCCAAAGCCACTCTCCAAACTGCTAGAGGTTAGATCGTCTCACTGAAGTCGTCTGGGGCGGGCCTGCGTCAGCATGATGGGCAGGTGATCAAAAAGGTGCCATGCAAGGCAGCGCATGATACGATGTTTCTACATCACAGGAGGACGGCACCTCCCCGAATCGTTGAAGTGACAGTAAGCCTGATAATGCCGATGGGCACTTGCCCGACTACCCCTCGCAGAAGTCTACGTCCGATATCCCGTTTGTCCAGTTGCTACGAACGAACGATCCCATCCAAAACAATCGCCGAATCGCAATGGCCCTTGTGATGGTCCATTCACTTCTGTTCCGGTTCGTACATCGTAGGCTAGGCCCAGTCTTGGCCATACTCTCAGCTACACTTTGCGTGGCCTCCCTTGACATGTATCATGTCGCAACTTCATAGCGTTTGCAAAATGGGAAGAACAAGAAGTCCACCGGCTGAAAGCTGCAGATCCCAAGCGAGGTGCAGATGCCGCACTACTCGGACTTACAGTCCTGGCTGGGTGGGATGATCGAGATCCTGGCGCTGGGCTTAGTAAGCTGATGACAGTAGCAGGTACTACTCGCAACACACGTGACCCACCTGTAGCGTCCATGTCCGAACTGGCCGTGAACCCCCAACCCCAAGACAATCCTAAACCGTGAATGCATTTCAATGCTTCAAGGGGACGTAGTAACCGAAAACCTCTCCGGCTCCCGACCCCGAGAAAGCTCCCACATGGATCGGTGTGTGGGCAAAAGAGCAGACCCAACATCTCCGTTCCCCCTAGACACACGACGGGATGCCGTGGAGCAGCATCATATGTTCATTTTCTTGAAAAATCATCGTCTGTTCTTTTGTTTTTGATCTTATTGTAGGTTATTTCTTTATTTGCAGTGTTTAATTATACTGTCTATTATTTCTTTATATTGCTCACATTGTTCTATACTTGCTTTTTTTTAGTTATTTGCAACTTCTTACATACATGTTCGAGCTTGTCCAGGGAAGATCGAAGCCAAAATCTTCAGCCTTAAGCCTTAATGTGCAGGCGTAAGGGCCTAATCGCCAACTGCCCTGAAAGCTTTGGAAACAGATGCTTCTGCGATTATCCTGTGAAAGCTTCAAAAGGCACAGTTCTCCCATGTTCTCTCTTACACCTGCCTCGATCGCAGGCAGTTTCTGTAAGAAGAACATGGATGCTTCGTGTATGCTCAGCCAGCGGCGAAAATCCAAGCCGGCCCAGTGTACGAGTCGAGCTGTTGTTCAGACTGACACCTGTACATACTTGCACCTTTCGCCTGCGAACTATACTGTTGAGCTTTGTTATCATCTTTGCAGTTCTTCGCGGACTACTTGCTCTCCTTCACTGGACTCAGCTTGCTTCGGAGCATGGTCCTCAAGGTGCGGCATTGTCGCTCTCCGTCTCGTGGCTGCATGTGACTATGGAGTGGATCGTGAGTGCAGGTTGATGAAAAGATCAACGAGATCAAGGAGAAGGTGGAGATGAAGGCCTCCTCGAAATTGGGGGGAGTCAAGGTCCACCTGCATCCTCTGGATGCTTGTTTCGTTACATGTTCCATTCGCCTGGTCACCAGGTTCTGGGTTCGTCGTCCAGTGTGGCACGAGAATCGCAGGCCGATGTCTCAAGCAGAGAACTATGGCGGCAGCAGATGTTGCATGCGGCGACTCTTTCATCCTCTGACTCTTGGGATTGTAGGCTGCCGGGGCGGAATTAAGACAACGACGAAAAATCGACGAGGCAGGTAAGTGTGCTCTGCTCTCAAGCCCAAGCCTGCCAATGCTGAATGATTTTGCGACCGATGCAGGTGGAGGAGGCAGTGGATCTATGAATTCTGTTCTCCCTGCTGAAAAAGCTGATGATATCTTATGTCGTATGTAGACCGACATAACGGTTCGCTATAAATACAAGATATTGCAACATTACAAACGAAGATATCATACCAGAACTACCAACTGTCATTGAGATTCATTTGGATTCGGGCAATACATGAGATATGGAAGAGGAGGTTAGTACTAGAGTGTAGAATTCATCGGGTATTTGGGTATTTAGATCTTTCGCGATGGGATTATTTGATTGCGTAGAATAGAATGATTGAAATATTTTTAGGGAGGATATTAGAGGAATTTCGATTTATGATTTAAGATTAATTCTTGAAGAAGATAGAAAATATGTTAGTTTTTTATAATGGTCTATATAATTTCTAATACTTAATCTAGGCTTCAAATATTCGTTCTTCTTTCATCTTTATATTTATTAAAACCTTGATTATAAGATTTTTATTTAAAAAGATTTTCGAAACAAAGAATAATAATAAGAAAATACATTTCGAATTTAAAATATCGTTAAAAGAGAAATACTTATATAGATTAGATAAAAGATTGACTT